CCAACGGCAAGTGAAGGTGTCTTGGTGCTGACCTCAAGTACTGGTGCTCGGTGCCTGCCCAAGGAAACTTGTTGGCATCAGGCTGAGCTGAGCACCATGTTTCTCTTGCTGGCTGCTGCCACGGCTTGTCTGAAAGCTACTGGGATTAATACTGCTAGAATATACGGCTTGTTTAGCTATTTTTATTGACCCGTGAATACATCTACTGTATAATTTATTGTAACATTAGTAGTTCAGTCCTGTGATGTTTGCTATAGAAAATCTTCAGTTCAAGCCAGTGGGAAATTTTGCTAGGGTGAGGAGTGCAGGCCTGGCCTCTGCTTCGCCTTTTTTCTTTTCCATTGCAACACAATTAACCTTTTCATTAGAAGAGCTCTGTTCCAAATAAGCAAACTTCTCAATGTGTATTACTGAGCCATTTCAAGCTGTCTCTTGCTTTGGAACAGAACATCTTTGTTCCAGCCATGCATGACATTTGAAGACCTATTTATACAATGTGTCAGCTCCATTTGTTTTCTTCATCCTGATATTTTCCTCTGTATTTTTGGTGAGCCATCCAGATTGCAAGGAGTGAGGTTTCCCTCTGCGCTGTTCCAGACTGAGGCACTGGCTGCCTTTGGCCTTTCTTCCCTTCTGTGGGCAGAGGTGAAACAACCCAAAATCAAACCCACTTTTTCCTACGTCATCCTCTCTGCACTGAGCCCAGCACCACCAGAGAGCTGTGGGATGGAGCGCACCTGAGAGCTTGCAGAAGGACCTGATATTATCACAATTTCTCTCTTGATGTCCTGCTTGTGGGTATCACTGCATGTGGGATGCGCATGGCTGCAATCCCTTCTGCTAGAGGGGACTCTCTGAGGGCCAGGTTTCCAAGCTCCATCACTTAATATGCCCTCCTCTAAAGTACCTGCTTTTTCCTTAGATGTTCATAATTTGCCCCAAGCCTCTAGCCAGCCTTTCTTGTCTGACAGCACAATGCTGATACAACAAAACTCAATATAAAAAATCCTTATCAAGATGTCAAGTACTAAAACTTAATGTCCTCCCAATTTTAGTATTGAATAAGGATAAATAGTTACAGGGTTTGGCTCATCCTCTCCCTTGTAAATAATTTATCTAATTTGGGACACACTCTCTCCTTCCAGAAGGGACCCGGAGTCATGCTGTCCCCGCTACTCAAGCAGCGACGTAACGTCTCTCCCAGTGCTGGCTCTACCCAGTGACAAATAAAAATTTTAGCCCTTTTTGAAATTTTTTACACAACCTGCCAGCTGAAGGTTTCAAGCTGCTTTAATGCTTCCAGGACACCAGAGCAATACTGCCTTAACCAGAAAGTGTGGCTGAAGATGCCAGCCCAGCAGTGGTCAGCCTGGGGTTGCAACGGCAAAACCCCATCGGCTTCCAATCCTACCCTCACCAGGAAGGTTGGGGAGGGAGGGCAAAACAGGTCCATGCAAGCAAGCCTGATCCTGACAGCTATTACATGGCCCACTCAAAGACTTTGATAATGACAAGCAAGACTCCAATGGCCTTGTGCTTCCCCATCCATGTAAGAGGAGGCAGAAGGTTTGGGCTATAAGATCAGCGATTAATCTTCAGAGCACCTCACAGTTGTGTTTTATGTAGACACTCCCGCCAGCTCTTGGAAAAGTACATGATCTCTGCTGAACACGAAGCTGCGGGTCATTTTAATTCCAAACACTCAATGTATGCCATATTCAACCAGACTGCAATCAGCAGCCTTTGTGCATGGTGGATGGGCTTCTGCTGCAAGGAGAAGAGGCAGCAGCACATGAGGAGGAATGCCTTCAATACCTTGTGCTTTAAAAGCAGTGTCTTCAAGCTTTGCTTTACGTTCCAGCGGCTGGGCTAGAGCTGCGTGCATGGCCTTGGCTCGGCACAAATGAAACCAAGGCATCCATATGCTGTAGATTAAGAGAAAGACTGTTTGATCTCCTGCTCACTGCTCAGATGCTCCCTCTTCCTCTCCGTAGCAGTTTTGAGGAGTACAGAGCCCAGTGTCAAAACCTGTAAGTCTGCATGTGTTTATCAGCTCTGTGATGGGAACTGCAGCACTTAACACAAAACAGTTGATAAAATGTTGCTAGCCACAGCCACAAAACCTGCCCTCATCTTTTCCATGATGGTGGCAGAAAAGAAAATTCCTCAAGTTGTATTTTCCTATTTAAAGATTAAGGGGAAAGGATTGCCAGAGTGGACGGAATTTAGTCCAACTGGTGTAACGCCTGGGTTAGCAAAGCAAAACACGAACCTCCTCTGAGTGCAGGAATTGTGGCTGTGCATAGCCAAGGCCACCACGAAGCCACAGCAGCCCTGCATGAGCAAAGAACAGCTTGGGTAACACCAGGCTTCCTCAAGCCTGTCACTGGGTTGATTATTGTGTCTCTGCTTACCACGCATTTTTGAGTCATTTATTGCAGTGGCCAATTAATGTTATGTTCTGCTAAGAAGCTGCAGGCATCCCTGATCCACGTTAAAGACGCTGGTGAGATAGGAGAGGAAAGCTCCACTGCGTAGAGGACTTGCTGGCTCTTCAGCATTGCCCCATGAGGGTTGGAAACCAGGCAACACTGTAACCCGGAAGTGGTACAATGAAGAAGCACCAGCAACAACCAGGTAACAATAGAAATGAGTTTTATTTTGTAAAAAGTTATAAAATGAATATTGTACAAAAATAAAGTCTGTAGAGAACTTTGGTTGATTAACACAAATGACTGAGACATAAATCGCAGGTGAAGTAAAAAACTCCAGAGAAGCACACTCCTGTCTTCAGTAAGGTCTAGAAAATTAAAAAAAAAATCACAAACTTTACCCTTTTGTATTTTGAATGTAGTGATTTGCTTTGGTTACAGCCTCTTCAAGCTGCACAGAAAATGCTTTGGGGCAAGTTTTCGGCAACTGGGCCAAGTGAAAGGACAGCTCTGAGCGCTGTGCCTGGTCAACTGCCCAGCAGCGCAGCTGACCCTCGGTTTAGCAGGCTTTTACTGCCCAAACCATGCTGATGCTGGCGGTGGTATCAGCTGCACCACCCCTGCCCAGTGTGGAGGGTAAGGTATCCCTGTGGCAGTGAGAGAATGGACCCCGCGAGTGGGCTCTGCGGCTGCCCTCCATCCACCCAGGAAAGCAGCTGAGGCCTGGGCTGAATTGCCTTTCATACACCTGGTACATCTTTCTATGCCTGTTCTCGACTTTTTTGACCTCTAGACCCTTCTTCTGTGGTACTCTGAGGGGCCCAGGGCAAAATGAATGTAGAGATGCATGAGATAAAAGGCCGGACCATCATTTTTTGGTTTTCAGTAGGGATTATTTTTATTTTTCCTGTTGTTTTTGTGGGAGTTGATGCTTCACTGGTTATCAGGTATGTCTAGTGACCTGCACTGCTGCTCCTTTGGGAAAATAGCCTCCAGAACAAGAGCTTACATTAGCAGTCAGGTATGAATGCCTTCACTGTACAACCTCCCTCATCCTAAGGAAACTCAGACTGTTCTGCTGTGTGGGTACAATCCTGTAACATTTCAGCAAATTATACAAAACACTTTGGTTATTTAACACAATTGTTTACCTGCAGGCTATATTAAATCCAGGGCTAACTAGTAAGAGGGACTTAACCTCTTCTATACGGAAATATGGAAGGAAAAGCTTAAATAAATATAGCAAGAAATTACAAGGCTAAATGTGATTATTTTCCACTTGTCAATAGTTATATGAGGTCAGTTGGCAAAAAGTGTGAGAAAAAAATATGGCTACATTTTAAATATGACTAGAATTAGTTTTTCTAACAAATTGCTCAAGTTGAGCCAAGTCCTGCGACCCTCACTCATCCAGAGCCATTGCTGCTCCTGCGCATGTATGACTGCAGTAATTTTCAAAAGGATTAGTGAACAGGAGGAAGGGCTGCAGGCTTCGGCACTACACTTTGTGAACATAATCAGGATTTTGTTTAAAAGAAAAAAAGGTAAAGTAAGTGATTTTTTGCATTCATGTTAACACTTTCAATCAAAAGCATGGACCGTTGTTCCCAACTTCATTGTCTCTCTCTATCTTCCAAGCACCTTCTACTTTGGCACCTTTGAAAAGAAACTTCAATAAATAAGGAAAGGAGACTCATTATTGAATTGTAATAAATAACAATAACTTAATCTCAATAAATATCTTCCGTATATTTATGCCTCTGAATGGATGCATTGCATCAAGTAGTCTCTGCTCACTCACAATGACCAAATAGAAATGTAGTTACGCAAGTGATGTTAGTCCTTTGTAAACCGAAAGAAACACGTCATGTAGGCCGGGCTTGTTACTTCTCTTACTATACTAGGAAGAAGTGCTTAAAAACTCAACTTGTTTTCATAGGTAGCAGAAGAATGAAATCCTACACTCATTTTGAAGAAACATGAGATGGAAATAACCAAATTTAACCAGTAAGTGGAACTGTTTTTCTTCGTATCGATATTGGCCCTACAGAACTTGAGCCTGGGAATTTTGATATTTGCCCAATATCATCTTACTTACAAGGTTAATCTTATTATAGCTTAGAAGTTGTCCTAAGTGCTTAGGAACCATCCCTCAAAGAACAGTAGCAAAATGTGCCTTTCAGTAAAGCTGAGGGCACAGGGGATGAGTAAGGTGCTCCCAAGCTACTTCTCAGCTAAGCCTCCTGGCATGCATGGTGTAACTACAACAAAGTGTGATATGGCAGAGTTGTGTTTTTAAGCACACTCCTTGGGGCTCCGAGGCTTGCTGAAGGTGGGCTGTGTCAAACAGGAAAGGGAGTGCGCACACCATCAATTGTCAGCATCCCCAAGTGTGCTTTTATTTACTTTCCTGTAGAATGTCAACAGTCTCCATCCTCCTATGCTGCCTCGTGCCCACCACCCCGGGCTCTCACGACCTCTTCTTCTGCGTTCTTGGTCCTCTTTTCTCTGTGCTGAGCAGACACATCCCCAGGAACCTTGGTCCCTCTCCTTGCATTGTAGCAGTTATTAGACGCACCCACACCTTTTTGCGGAATGTTTTTTCAGTATGTGGTAAACCAGGTTATCGTCCAAAAAGGACAGGTCATCATCAAAGGCTGTGGGTCTGCAACAAGCTTGCCTCACTTTGTCAGTGACTAGTTTTTTCTTTCTGGTTAAGTTTTTTAAAATTTTGTCATAGGTGGTCTCGGCTGCGTCACAAGATCCACTGCAATACCGGAAAATTAGCTCTTCTTTGGTTTCGTATCCCAAATCCAAGTCAGTCACGTTTAAATGTATTTCTGTTAAGACACATCCCCGATTTTTGCCTTTTTGATTCCTTCTTCCCTTTTTGCTGGAATTCTCTATGTTCATGGCTGCGTTTTGCCTGTTTCTCTCCCGCCTAGAAAAAATCGGAGTCTGTTTATCTGGCGACCTCCTCAGTCTTTTAATGGTGGCTTGAATAAAGTCCACTACCTCATCAAACTGATCTGGATAATCCTCTGGCATATTAGCTGTTTGGGAAAGAGAGAAAAGGCTTTGTCACACATCAACTGTCATTAAGTTTGTCCATTCGTGGCTCAAAAATGTTAGACACATGCAAGCTGTTCTGCCCATCACTTCCCAGTGCACCCCCAGGACTCTTAGAAATTAGGGAGAATTTGGGATGGTTTAGATCACCATGGAAACTCATTTGGAGAAAAATAAATGAGATATGTATGCATCTCTGTAGGTATCTGCTGATGCTTGGTAGCACTCCAGCACATCTGTCAAAATTGAGGGAGGGAAAAGCATGTCATGATAGGAATATTAGTTATTGGGTGGATGAAGCTACTATAGAAAGGTTCTACAGGGTCTTCCCAGCAAAGCAGCAAAAGGACAAGATTTCTTTAAAGCAGCTTTGTGATTATAATTGTTAATTGTTGTCTTTTCACACGAGCAGTGGTTAGCATTGCCAAAGCCACCTATCGATAAGGTTTTTTGGGCAGGACAGAAAGAGGAATTTCCTGGGGTACCAGGCTGAGCTATTATTCCTGGCTGAATGCCTGCTTTTTTACTGCTTCTAAGGGGATAATCATTATCAGAGCTTTTGAAAAATTTCTCATGGAAGTCTTTTGTATCACAAGATGCTGATTAGACTGAGTAGAAAGAGGTTAGAAGAGAAGTATTAGGTTAATTTTCAAGGGAATGTTATTAATGCTTTTTCTTTTTATGAAGTTAAAATACCGATTTCATTTTTTCACTTGATATATATACTCTACCAGTGATAAATTATTAAAGTAAACTGAATGTTGAAGTCAACAAAATGTTTTGACACCAGCAGAATGAACCTCTTCAAGGAGGGTGAAATTGCACATGCTTGTTCTGATTTCAACAACATTTTGAAATCTTTAAACTTCCCATGGACTAAATCCCTCAATGTGATCTGCTTTAGTGAATACAGTGATTTAATGGAGGGTAAGGCTGTCAGAAGCCCGTGTGTAGGTGCCCTTATGTGGTATTACTAATGATTGCCTCTTAAACACATAAACTACATTGCAGTGTTGAGATTTTTTTTCTCATTCATTGCGCCAAAAATCAAGACTTGAGGACTTGCTTCCTTTGCAGTAAGACCTAAGAGGATGCTTCTTTTTCTACTCAACTCCTAAGTGTCCACCCACGTAACAGGAGGATATCATGCACCTGGCCCTGTATGTACAGGAGCTCCATCTGCAGAGGGACCCTGTTATGGTTTGAGAAACCCACAACAATTTATTGTTGTTTAGACAATCATGCTATTACCCGATGACCCCTCCCCATCTGCAAAGGGGAATTGGGAAAATACAAGGAAAACCAAGGGTTGAAATATAACCAGGTTTAATAGAATAAGACTAGATAATTAACATTAATAACACTAAAGAACTAATATCGATCCCAATACCAATATAAAATACACAAGAATTATACTCAGCCAATTCTATCAGTAGAAGCTGTGTACTCTGAGCAGTGGACAGCAAATGTCGGACACTGCGAGCACTATGGCTTCAGGAGGAAAGGAAGGCCTCAGGTGTCCTGCACTGGGGCAAGAAGTTTTCAGGATTGCAGCCATAAAGAAAGAGAGCACTTTGCAGCAAACTTTCTAATTTATATTGAATGTGACATTCATGGTATGAAATAATTCTGTTGGCCAGCTTGGGTCAAGTGCCCGGGTCTCGCTCCTCCTCATCCCTGAACCTGGCTAACTCCAAAACACTGAGGCCTCGAAACCCACACACCATAGATGGCTATAAAGTAAATATTTTCACAAATTCAGACACTACAGACTCAGGACAGACTCCTACAAATATCCCAGGAACTGCAAACGCTGAGGAAGGTGATACCCAACACAGTGCACCTTGCCAGGAGTTGGTACCTCCATTGAGCCATGAAGGTTCTCACCTGGTCAGGTGTTGAGATAGGAACACCTCCCTAGGTGAAGGCTCAGCATCACATTTCCCTAATGAGCACTGTAACAAACAGAAGCCCTGATGGGAGACCAGGCGGCACATGTACCCTGCCCACACATGGTGGCATGGACTCTGTTAACAGGAGAGAGGAAGACGTGAGGCTGCCTCCCATTGCCTAGTGAAGGTGCACATTCATATCCTCAAAAGAAGCACGAAATACAGAGGAGATCGGCAAGACTGGTGCAGTAGGATCTTAACTCAGTGCAAAAACCTCGTGAAACACGGTGCATCTGCATGTAAGGAGTAATGTGGACCCCCTCCATGAAGCAGCCACATCCTAGAGGGTCCCCTCCATGACAAAACAGCAATGGATCAGAAGTATACAATTTTTCATGGATGGCTCCAGCAAAATAATATAGACTAGTAAAAAAAGTAATGAAGGAAGGCAATCTTGTACCTTCATATAATGAAGGTGGCACATGGGAAGCAGGATCCTATGGAGTTTGGAACTGGGATATCCATGCTAAAGGCAAAAATCTCACAGACCAGTGGCTGTCAAAAAACATGAAGAAGGATGTCTGCTATCTATACAGCTATACGCGACCTGAACAAGGCAGGACCCTGCACCAAGATCCATATTCCCATAAGACCAATGGCAAGTGCACCCTTCTTGCATTCCTCTGTCAATACCTCTGTAGCAGGTATCAAAATACCCACTATGAGCCACACCTACTGGAGGGCGGTAGCTTGGATAGATGTGTCCATCGGATGCACCACCCAGCTCTGTTGCAGGACAGGTTGATCTGCCTACACCATATGAATGCTGCCCTACTGAGCAAAGTCAAGGCAATGGGTGGGCTGCATTCCTTAAAAGCAAGAAAGGGCAGACACCTTTCTAGACTCAGTCAAGCAAGATGACCCAAGTGGAACTGCATAGCCCCCACTGCTGAAGTACCAGCTTGGCCCTGGCACAGGTACAGGTAGAGAGGGGCTTGGCAGGAGGCACTTGTTGCTGTGGGACTGGGTGGTTTCTAGGCTTCTTGCATAGGAACCATGTTTCTTAGCTTATAACCCAATAATGGAAGGATGCGGCCCTGAGGAGATGGCTCTAGCTGTGCCATTCTCCACTCTCACCTTCGAATTACCCCTTCCATACTACTGCGACTACCCCTGACATCCCACACCCCTGTCACATACTCCTGGCCCAACCCTTGTAGCAACAGTATAACACAAAGAGACATTTGCTATGGAGAATGAAATACAACTGTGAGGGAAGCACGCTAGGGTTTAATGAAATTCATGCAATGGTTAACCATCAGGAAGTGGACAGGAGTTTATTACAGGGAAACCCAACCTATACGTGGAGATTCTTGGCTGCAGCCTTCAGCCTCATACTTATCCCAAGCCTGGTACTCTGCCAGTACAGTGACGGGACTGTGTCCCCCACCTAAGAAGGGAGAAACGAAACTGTGGATTTCCTGAAGAGATAGCAGCCCAACTAGGTACATAATTTTTAAACTGCTTGTAATTTAGGTGCAAAAATACCACCTACCCCCGCGACACTGCTATGTGCAGCAGTCTACTTTGGTTAAATATTAGTCAGATAGTTATAGGGTTAAAGCACTGTCCCACCCAAGCCAATCCAAGTATGCCCTAGAGACTAGATAGAGAGGAGGAAAGGCCTATGTTGTGGACTGTATACCTGCTCAGACCCCACACTGACATCTGTCCTTGTTCATGCATGATCACTATCCCAACTGCACCAAGGGAGCTAATGTTGCTGAGAGCGTTCTGCACTGCAAGTGGCCTATGACACTTAAGGTGGAGGAAACACACCACAGAAAAGCCCTACACAACGCTTCTAATGCAGGCATGGGGTGTCAACATTGCAGAAGGTGGAAGTGCTAGGGCAAAAAGTAGATCAAGTAAACAAGCCAACAGCGTATCCAACTAGAGAAGCCCTACCTACACACATGGATTTCCTGCAACCAGAAAATGGGGTAATTGGCAGCACGACTGATCCTGCTAATCTCACTGTGGCTCTAACACAAACCATGCAAGAAGTGCTGCAAGCTGTAACCTGGGATGAGGTGTGTGTGGCCAATATGTCTAATGGAGCTGGGAATCCCTGCTCAGCTCATCCCCTATTGCAACATCAGGCCTCTTGGGAGACTCACTGGGAAGGACGCCAGCACTATGAGTATGATGAACGCAAACCTTCTGTCTCTATGGTGGACTTCCCCTTCAGCCCAGGGAAAATATCCCAAGCAGATATCCAAATCTGTTTAGAGGACTCCTGCAGTGACTCCCAGTATTTGGAGATTACATCACTGGAGGAGACAGTGGGTGATCTTAGGGAACCAGTGGGAACAGTGGAAACAGAGCCCACCTCGAGAAAATGTGCTGGACCTACTGACCAAGGTCAGTATCTGCCCAGCTGCAACCACACATGCTGTTATGCGGGTATGTGGGTACACCACATTAACGCAATGGAACCTGCATTACTGAGCTGCTCAGTGAGTCCTTGCAAGCTGCTGTAAGCAACAACACTCTCTGCCTGAGAAGCCCCAAACTAGTCATGATCAATGCAACGATCAGGTCTTTTTGGCAGCTTCCAACTGGACTGCCAATGTACCCCAAGTTTGCTTCTATAATTTAGCACCGTTCGACAAACACCTCTGGTCCTTGCAATCAGCCAGCCTCTGGCTGGTACAACTCTGAATTATTATACAATCCCACAAAACCAGTTTCAACACACACTCGGCAGCGCGGGCCCGTGCTCTCAGCATTGCATCAAGTGCAGCTGGAGCTAGCAACCACTGAACCATGGACCCAAGCAATGGGGCTCATACTGATCGGATGTGGCTTGGTGCTAATTTTCTGCTGCTTAAGGAAGCGTAGTCGTTAGCGTGACTACCAGACAGTCACTAGGAGCAGCTTGCAAGGGTTTGAAGGAAACCTCGTCAGCCAGGGGTGAAGTGAGAGTTGACTTAGCAGCCTATGCCAAGGCGCTAGTCATGACTCAGTAGGGGTATTCAGTTGTTCAGTAAGTATGGGTGTGAAGCCTGAGAGCCTGCAACAAAATGCTG